AGCCACAATTCTTCCTGTGAGAACTGAATTGAACTGAACAGTACTCTCTGTTCTAGAGAAGATTCAAACGAAAAGAAGACACTGATATCTTTTAAGGACCCGAAACATCTGGGTAATAGCCTCTAACCCGCGAATTACTTGAAGACTCCAAGACCAGACAACTGAACTACTTGTTGAAGTCGGTCTGTTACTCGTACTCGCGCGGAATTCGCTTTCAGGCGGAATTTTGAAGTTCAAGGACGTAATGGCTTCGCGCAGGCTTGTAAGATATGTGACGAGCAAAGAATTCAGGGATTATTTTATGAGGTGATTTCAGTAAATAGAGGAAATTTATCGCAGTTTTATTTTAGCACAGTGAGTTTCCAGTCGCTTCGATTTGAAAATTGCATCTACATCATGATATCTACAACATGATATCTTTGTGCTTCAGCACTTTTGGGGTCCAGTGGCCAACTGGGGTCTACCTCTTGCTGCTTTGGGTGATTTGAAGAAGAATCCTGAACTCATAAGTGGAAATATGACGACGGGTAACTTAAACTGCTGACATCTCACTGTGTGTTTTAGCTTTAATCTTTTATTCAGCTTTATTCATGCGATTCGCCATACGGGTTCAGCCACGAAATCTCTTGCTTTTTGCTTGTCACTTCACAAATGAGGCCGCTCAACTGGTACAGATGGGCCGTTTTGTTGACTTTTGGTTTGTTTCGATTTCTCATCTAATTATGGCTTCATCAGGTTTATCAAGAATGACGATCAGAGAGAAAGTATACGGAACCATTTCAAAGTCTAGAAGAGGTCCATTTGCGCACAGTGGAAGATATAGTGCAAAACTTGTATAAATATTACGGAAGACCTAAAATGAATTTTCAGATATCTGAGTCATTAGTGGGCATGCGGTGCGTTTTCAGCATGCTAAACAGATCTCATTGCTTCAATAAATTTTTTGCAAGAAACACTGTACATTTTTAGAAGTTCATTCGTTCACGGTATAGTTGCGTATCCGTAACCG